CAGAGCGATCATTAGAGACACGAGGGGGCGGCTTTCTAGCCTCGCAACAGTTGTCAGTCCTTTAAAACGATGCTTTGGACACTATTTAAAGAATTCACAGCAATGTTTCTCACAGAATCGTTGCGGAGACATTACGTAGGCCTGTCACGATAACAAATTTTGCTGGGCGATTAATTGTCTCAGAAATTATTGTAATAAACGATAATATTGTGCAGCACGGTGGCACAACTGGTAGAGCTGCTGCCTCTCAGCGAACAGGTCCCTGGTTCAAACCCCGGTCCAGGGGCCTTTCTGGGTGGAGTTTGCATGTTCTCTCCGTGCATGCGTGGGTTTTCTCCGGGTACTCCGGTTTCCTCCCACAGACCAAAAACATGCATGTTAGGCTGATTGGTAACTCTAAATTGTCCCTAGGTGTGAGTGAGAGAGTGAATGGTTGTTTGTCTCGTTTGTCTCTATGTGGCCCTGTGATGGACTTGCGACCCGTCCAGGGTGTACCCCGCCCCTCACACAGTGATTGCTGGACATGGGCACCAGCGACCCCCGTGACCCAAAATGGAATAAACGGGTAAAGAAAATGGATGGATGGATGTTTATTTGTTTGGAGTGTAGTACCTTTTTTGACCACCTGATGGCAACATAAGACTGTTTGAACCAAAAGATGGATAGTTGAGCAGAGGGAGGGCCCTTGACATCACATGGGCTGACATGGTGACATGGCGTTGTCACGTTCGGCCGTCAGGTGTGTTAGAACCCACATGCAGGAGGGTGATGAGGACGCTCGAGGAATAATAAACAATATTTATTAAACAAAACAAAATCAAAACGCTGACAGGGCAGCTACTCACAGATTAATCGGACGGACGGAACGGAAGGCTGAACACAACACCATAGAAGGACAATCCAGAGACAAAGACAAGACAGAAGAGAGCTGAATATATACACACACTGATTAGGACAATGACAGACATCTGTGGTGATTAACATGAGACACAGGTGAGAGGAGCTGAACACAAGGAGGGAAAACACAGAGAGCTGAATCAGGAAACACGAGGAAACAGAAAGAGACAGGACAAAAACCCAGAAACCCTACAGTATCCCCCAGTCAAGGGATGGCTCCTGACATCCCAAGGACATGCTACATCCAGCTTGGGTGGGAGGTGGGATAAAAGTGGACAGAGCAGGATGAGTAGACACAGGACTAAAAGAACAAAAAACCGACAGGAAAACCTGGGAAACACCAAACACAAAAACCAAAGACCCTTACTCAGGGTCAAGGTGGACGGTCAGGAGACAGACCCAGGCAGGTCTGAAGTTCAGGCGGGCGGTCCGGTGATCGTCTCCAATGAGTCAGGGGATCAGTAGGGTGGCCTGGGAACCGTCCATCCCCAGACCCTGATCCCGACAGACAGCTAGGAGACAGTTCATCTGTGGGCTGCAGGGGCATCCACCTGTGGCCACCTGGACTCAAGCAGGCGAGGACCTCTTGGGGTGGGCCAGGAGTGGAGACATCTGCAGGCTGGCCGTGAGAGGAGACTACAGGAGGGCTGGACTCTTCTGTGGTTGAGCCCAGAGTGAAGACCTTAGGTGGGCCGGGAGCGAGGACAGCCGGGGTACCTCCCCCCAGAGAAATCTTCCGCCGTTCAACCGGCGACCGAGGGCTGGGCTTCCCCCTCGCCTATGAAGCTCTCTCCTCCATGCGCTGGATTCGGGGAGGACCAGCAGTTTGCCCCCCTCTCTCAGACGATCGTGCGGGACAGCTAGGAGGAGAACGAGGAGGAGGTGGGCAGCGGGGTGCAGCAGTGTGACGAGCAGATGAGGAGGAGTGAGACGGAGAGGTTGAGGACACGGGTTTAATGGCCAGGCGGGTCCCCCAAAACGGATTCTTTATTCTCTCCTCCCTCTGTCGCGCTGAGCGGTGTTCTCCGTCTCACGAGCCAAAAATACAAAGTAATCTTCCTCCTGCTGGGTTCAGAATGGGCTCCGGATTCTGTCACGTTCGGCCGTCAGGTGTGTTTGAACACACGTGCAGGAGGATGACAAGGACGCTCGAGGATTAATAAACAATATTTATTAAACAAAACAAAATCAAAACGCTGACAGGGCAGCTACTCACAGATTAATCGGACGGACGGAACGGAAGACTGAACACAACACCATAGAAGGACAATCCAGAGGCAAAGACAAGACAGAAGAGAGCTGAATATATACACACACTGATGAGGACAATGACAGACTCCTGTGGTGATTAACATGAGACACACGTGAGAGGAGCCGAACACGTGGAGGGAAAACACAGAGAGCTGAATCAGGAAACACGAGGAAACAGAAAGAGACAGGACAAAAACCCAGAAACCCTACAGGCGTATGCTCAGTGATTTGAGCTCTTTAGCATAGCATTTTTCACACAAAGCTTTTAATCAAAACAATCAGTAAACAAGTTCTCAGCTTCTTTTTGCAGAGAAACACAACTTTTTACATGAAGGCACGGGTTTCGACAGTGAATTTTGTGGCTTCGACAGGACACAGGTTTTTTTCCCCGAGGTCAGCCTGTTAGCTTAGCTCCTAGCTTAGCTGCTTTTAATGATCCAAAAACGTGATTTTGAACAGTTAAAACAGATTTTAAAGAGAAAAGAGAAATGGAGGGGTCAGTGAAGAGCACCGGAGTTGAGCCGTGTCTTCAGTAGAAAGAGAGAGACACGAACAAACAATAAAGCCGATAAATGAAAATGAGGTTGATCATTTTCATTTATCATGCAATTAATTGATTTATTGTTTACTGCTACAGGCCTAATATTACAGAGATTTGTACTTTATTGTTTATTTTTATTTATATTTACAGGAAGTAGTCGCAACAACTGGCTGCCCATGTTGTAACTTAAAAAACAAAGTCACAAGTTTCAATTCTTCTGCTTACATCTTATCACCAGCAAACCATTTTTTCCACTATGGGAGTGTGGTGTTTGTGGGGCTTCAGTTTGTTTGTGGCTTCTCGGACTGAAGAAGTCCTTCAGATGAAGGACAAACGTCTCAGAAAAAAAAAAAAAACGTCCAGATGAGTTGACTGAACATTGTTGGATTTGTACCTGGATTATTGAGCATGAACTTCAGTGTTCTGTTACAGTTTCTTTTCTGTGGTCTGTTACTGTAACCATTTTTATATCATATGTTTCAGCTCATTCAGGAGATGAGGGCTGTGTCATTTGGATTATTGTAACTTTGATGTAGTTTTTAAAAAAAGACCTTTATTTCAAAACATTCTCCATAAAATCACACTGTATGTAAAACATTGTAACCTTTGGAATCTGCTGCAGCGTACTTCTTCTGTTTTGGTCTTCTTAAGCTGCTTTTAGCAACTGTGTGCTACTTTTACCTTTTAACTTTTGTTCTGCTACTTCTAGTTTTTGTTTTGCTACTTTTAACCTTCAGATACCATTTGCTACTTTTAGCATTTAGCTTCTATTTTGCTGCTATTAGTTTTCAATTAACTTTTTGTTTCTTTTATCCTTCAGCTATTGTTATGCTGCTTTTATGTTGTTGCTAATTTTGTGCCCATTTTAGCTATCGTTTAAGCTTTAGCATCCAATTTTAGTTTTAGCATTTATCTTGCTAGTTTTGGGCAATGATCTTAGCTTTACCGCCTGTTATTACTAATTTTAGCTAATGTTTTGCTAGTTTAGCATTTGTTTTGCTACATTTAGTCACTGTTTTGCTGACTTTAGTTTTAGCTTTATTAATTTGAGCTTTTGTTTCGCTTTTTTAGCATCTAGCTAATAGATTTGGATTTTAGCTTGTGTTGATCATATAGCTTGTGTTGAGGTTCATTGTAGCTTGTTTTGCTAATTTTAGTTTTTGTTGTACTCATTTTAGCATAGCATTGGTTTGTTTTAGCTTTACCAACTCTGTTTCAATTCCTTCAGCAAACTTTAGCAACATAAAGTAAAATAATTCAGCATTCACATCCTCAGAAAGTCCCTGGATTTCTCTCCTTCTTTCCTTCTTTCATTTGTCCGTTCTTTCATTCTTTCCTTTCATTTCTTTCTTTCTTTTGCTTGTCTGTTCTTACTTTCTTTCTTATTTTCTTTCGTTCTTTTCTTTGTTTTTTCTTTTTCATTCGTCCGTTCTTTTTCTTTCTTTCGTTCTTTCATTCTTTCGTTCTTTCTTGTTAGCTTTAGAAATTAGTGTTGAGCTTTTTTTAACACCACTAAGCGCTGCAAAAAGAACTTTTTTTTTTTTTCTCACCATGTTTCAGCTGCAAGGAGCCCACAGGACACTGACAATGACGTGAATTTACTGTCCAATAATCAATACCCCCGCCCCCCATGTGGAGAGAAAATCAATTCTGCGTCTCGTTTTCTGTCACGTTTGAGGTCATGGTGTGGGCAGCTGCTGTTGTTAAAATGAGACATGTCTTTGGGTGGGAAATGGTTCTTTTAAAGGATACATTGTTGTTTTTATTGTTGTTTTCTCGTCTGCTCGTGGCCACGTGTCCATCTCATGGTGGGAGGAGATAGGGGATGAAAGGCCAAACATTGGGTACATATCTCTGTCAAAAAGTCCTCTAAAAGTTTTGCTTTGGTTAATATGTGTGCTTTCCTGCAGGGTCCGTCTCTGAAACACAAACACTGAATTAAGAGCGTAGTTTTTTTTTCTCGTTTAGGTCAGATTCTGTGAAGACGTCATAAAGTAGACAATAAATGTGGTCATTTTGGAGTATAGAAACAATATTGCTTTTATTTTGAAATGGGTATATATTAAGCTGTAGATCAAAGTAGTTACAGCACATTTTGAAGTGATGTAATGTTCACCCGCAACTAATCACCTAAAACAGCGTTTCCTTTCTGCTGCGTGCGTTACCTAACTCCTCCTTCATTGTTCCCCCTCTCTGCCTTCCATCACATTTACCTTCCTCTCTCGTCTGACATTTCCATCTCCATCACTTTTAACCTTCTCTTTTCTCCCCCAACCTTTCTTCACGTCACCCCCTCCCTCTGTCTGTGCAGGTGGAGAGAGAAATAGCTATTCTTAAACTAATAGAGCACCCACATGTTCTGAAGCTCTATGATGTCTATGAAAATAACAAATATCTGTAAGTATCTTTGGATTACGCTCATTTTCTGCTCTCTAAAAATAAAATAAACGGCTGTGCCTCAACGTTTCCAGCAGAAACTGAGAGAGATGACAGCACGGTGTGACAGATAAAGACTGTTGTGGTTTTTCTGTCTGTCTCGTAGGTATCTGGTACTGGAGCATGTGTCTGGTGGGGAGTTGTTTGACTACCTGGTCAAAAAGGGCAGGCTGACCCCCAAAGAGGCCCGGAAGTTCTTCAGACAAATTATCTCCGCCCTGGACTTCTGCCACAGTCACTCCATATGGTCTGTGAGAAGCTTGACTCATACGATTTCTATAAGAATCACTGAGCGTTTTCCGTCTTCTTAGTTTTTACGCAGTAGAAGCTGCTACATTTTAGTGCAACAACACACGCTTTAAAAACAGACAGTAAGAAAAGACCTGCTGCTCTGGCCTGCTGCCAACATGTCAGGATTTTGCTCTTGTCTGTGCGTCTGTCTGTCTGTTGGCAACATATCTGACGAGTCAGAGGACAGATTTCATTGAATCGATAAGATAGAAAACAGTTTCTATGACGCCACTTTCACAGGTGTTTTTCTAAAACCTGGTGAGGTAGTAGCTGAGAGTCATCTACAATGTATACTCTGAGCACTAAAAGATGATGCAAGATACTGCAGTAAGATCATGTTATTCTTTAAAGTTTGACCAAATTACTGTCATTTTCCGTCAAGAGGTAATATTACAGGCGGCAGGCTTTCCTTCAAGAACTGCTCGTTCTTTAGCTTTTAAGTTGTTTATATATTAACTGCATTTAAGAAAAATGTAGTGAAACAGTTTATTTTTACAAGAAGCACACATTTTCTCTGGTAAATAGGAAACATGGTTATGCACAGCATGTATGTAAATGTAATGCCCTTATCAGTAACATTAGAACAAGTTAGCATTCATAGCATTAAAGCTAGGGATACACGATATTGAGTTTTTGGCCGATATCCGATATGTTAAAACTTATTTGGCCGATAACCGATACCGATATTTTATATACTGTATATCCCTGTGTCAGAACATAGCCTCTTATTTATTTGTATTTGCTACAAAAATTGTGTAACAGCTGTAAGAGCTGGTGACATATATTCAGTAACATTAGGGCTTTAACAGACTACTCAAGTAATCTACACATCGATTCCTAGGACATCGAGTTTTTAAATTCCACGTCGAGTATTTGTGGTGATGTCATTACGTTGCCGTTGCGTCATTGCATCATGCGTCACGTGATCCGCACCGGGCGCGGGTTACAAAATGGATTCCTCCAAGCAGACGGATGGAGCAGAGCAGGCCCAGTCTTGACAAACAGGTAGAAATGCATCAGTAGTGTGGAAATATTTCACTAAAGATGAATCTTCTGGTTCAACTACCGTAAGGAAACAGAAAATGAATCAACTTCCTGACTGTTTGGAGCTCATTGCGGACCGGTGTTACACCATATTCTGTGACCACCGTATATTGTGACCGTAGGGGGCGGTGTTGCATGCACTGTTGCAGGTCACAGAATATGGTGCAACACCGGGTCCAATCGACCGAACCAGAACCAGCTTCCTCTGACCTTGTTTCACAAACTAAAAACAAAAAATATTAATCTATAAAACTAAACCTAATGCGCAACACCGCGGGTGGGGGTGCAGGGTGGTCGACCCCCCCCCCACTGTTTTTTGTTTAGTTTTTGACGTGCCGCACGTTTCTTTCATTTTTGCAGCTTAATAATAATAAATAATAGTGTAGTTTTTCCTGTGACTTATTTGCAGTATGATAAATGGTAGGAGCATAATATACGTTTTGTTGGTCTTTTTTTTGTAACTAATAACTGACGTTTTTTTTTTTTCAGATTTATTTATTTTTTTATTTTGGCATCTTGAGATCCTATGATGTCATCAACTACTCGAGTTCTACTCGAGTTTTATTATGTTAATGTCAAGTTTAAAAAGTATGTAGTCGTTCAACCCCTAAGTAACAGCCATATGATATGCATATCATTTTAACTTATATTAAATGAAAAGTGTTAAATGTTATTTATTAGCATCAGTCACCTGCGATGGTGTCTCACTTGTGGAGGTTTGTTCCAGGTTCCTATAGCTGAGGTGTGGGATCCTCTGCACTCCTGTGCATGAAGGACAGACATTTTAAGATCAAAGTTTTTGTTTATCCACTGTGCCGTAAGACTAATCATGCTAACGGGGCTAACACGACGTCCAAAAGTCTGTGGTAAAACTCACCTAAGTGCTATCAGCTATTAGCTTCTCAATGATGTCAGAAATGACGGCTTGAAACTCGGGTAACGTTGTGTCGGAAAAATATCTCCAACTGGGGATGATGTAGCGAGGCTCAATGTAGTCCATAAATCTTCAGAATCCAACATCCTCACCAACGAAAAATAAAACTTCCACACTGCTGACATTTTGAATTTTCCTCTCCGCCGTGAGATCAGGTATGTGCGCATGACGTCATCATGTTGTGCTGCTGCTGCAGGCATCCTTGTCACTGGGTTGTCATACAAAAACAGCACCTTTTATATCGGTGAGTTAGAGGAATGGCCAATGTCCGACACTAATATCGGCCGATACCATGCCGATAATATCGTGCATCCCTAATTAAAGCTAAATTCTTCCAACATTTTCAGATCATTAAGCTTTAATAAACAGGACATGTGGAACTCAGAGGACTGCACCTGTTAGAGACCAGCTGGCAAACGGTGTTTGAATCTCCAAAATGTCTTGACAGAAGACGCCAAATGACACAAGAAGTTATTTTGTGTAATTTGTATTCATTTGCAACTTTACACTTTACGCATTGTTTGCACTTGCAAAATAAAATGTGCGTCCAATTCTATGTTTAAAAAAAGGTGCTGCTTCGGTGCAGAGGTTTTGATCAGGAAGACAGAAAACGTCCAACGTTACAGGCCCAAATGTCCAAAAACTATGTCGCTCATAAAGAATAATTTTTAAAATCTTCATTTTAAAAGTACTCTAGATTAATTCAGCTCAGTTTATTTATATAGCCCCAAGTCACAACAGAAGTCGTCTCACTGAACAAAAACATCACATACACTATAAAAGCCTGTTAGTAAAAGTTCTCTATCCAAGGAAGCCGCAGATTGTGTGGAATCTTCACTTGGTCGCAGTCTTTCATCCTGAGCAAGCACAAAGGAGACAGTGGAAAGAAAAACTCCCTTTTAACAGGAAGAAACCTCCAGCAGAACCAGGCTCAGCACAAGTGGCCATCTGTTTCGACCAGCTGGGTTTGAGAGGACAGGAAGGAGAGACAAACACAGAATGGCAGGTCCAGAATGGAGGCGAGCAGGTCTATCTATAGGAGGAAAGATAAAAAAAAACATGTTAAGAAAGAAATAATTACAAATACAAACTATTCATTTGATGAAATGAGGTCAGTTTGTCCTCTAGCAGTCTAAACCTATAGCAGCATAACTAAGGGACAGCTCAGGAAACCCAAGCCAACCCTAACTATAGGATTTAGCAAAAAGGAAAGTCCTAATCCCGGTCTTAAAACTGGACAATGTGTCAGACTCACAGACAGAAACTGGAAGTTGGTTCCACAAGAGAGGAGCCTGATAACTGAAAGATCTTCCTCTCATTCTGTTTTTGTAAATTCTAGGAACCACAAGTAAACCTGCAGTCTGAGAGCAAAGTGCTCTGTTAGGAAAATATGGAACAATTAAATTAAATTATAAACATGGGGTAGGCTGCTAAGGTGGGTACATACAGTAGCAGATCTAGGGGGATATGTTGTGGATGGAGGTGGGAAACAAAATCATTCTTACGCCCTTAAATACAGTTTTGCGCAACATATTTTTCAAAAACTGCCTTCATAAATGCGGCTGCACGGCTTGTTGTTGTGAAACTATCAAAATTCGGTGGGATGGCGACTGGAACTTTGTCCATTTGCTCACAATTTTGAGCTGCTAACTAGTCCAGACAGTTTCAGAACATAGATGCTACCTTAAGGGTTTTGTTCTTGTGTTTGCATGTGACCAGTCACAGAGACCTGAAGCCGGAGAATCTTCTCCTGGATGAGAAGAACAACATAAGGATAGCAGACTTTGGAATGGCCTCGCTACAAGTCGGAGACAGTTTGCTGGAAACCAGCTGTGGGTGAGTGTCACGATTTTATCAATAAAATAAACTGTGTAACTATGTGTATAAAAATGTATGTTGGGTAAAAATATCCTCTATTTATGTTGCTCAAAGAAGCCACACTCGATGACAGGAGAATATTTTTAACTGGTTTTACTTGCAAGGGCAGACTTTCACATCAGGTCACACAGATGTACAGAAGTTCTACACGCATGGAGCCCAGTCATGAGAATCTACCACGGGCAGTGTGCGAGGCTTGTTTTTATAACCTTATCAGCTCACAGACAGACTGATGACCTTTGACTGCCAGCTGCACCTGCAGTATCAAACCAGCTCCTCATCCAGCTCTCTCTGTTAAATCAAACACATGGTTCATGGGCAGTTAACATTCTCAACTATAGTAGTTAGAAACATCCATAAAACCTTGTCCTAACACTGTAGTTCCACCATCTTAAAATAGGTGTGAACAATCAGCATCTTACGTGTAGATAATTGTTTGAACAACCACAGTTTAGAGAAACAGTTTAACATAAACCAGTCGAGCTAACGGCTAAAACCAAAGTGGATTACTGCTAAAGGTGTCCTGATACTAGTTTACTTCAGACTGAGTACAATACTGAGTACTGATACTGCATTGTTAATGTGTTACAAATGACACGACTTTAGAAACACGTGTCTTTTATTAAGAACACAGCAAACAGTCTGCTCTCTTGTGCTTACGTTAAAATAGCTCTAATCTCTGGACTTTATTTAGTTTTCATCCTCTATTATTTGCAAACTGGAAGAGGAAATGATGTCACCGAGTGTAAAAGTGAGAGCCTGTTGGTTTGAAGCGTTGGGGTGTTTTTATGAGTACAATAACTGTGAATACTTGATGTTGGTGCCCGATACTGGTATTGGTGTCACAACACCATTAATTACTGCTGTCATAAAATGGTTCCAGTCTCAAAAATCTCAGCGTTTTAAAATGTCATTTTATAAACTTTTACCGTTGTTTCACCGAGACGAGCAGCAGTAGCTAACTGTAGCCCTTCCAGCAGGGATCTCATCATGTCTTAATAACCGTATTTATTGAATCTAACGATGTAAACCTTTACAAAATAATGCTTGCATTAACCACCATGACATTCTTGAGAGTGGACCTGTTATATGATGGCAGCAATCAATTTGGTGTTAGCTGCATTCAGCTAACTAGCTATAAGCAGTTCGGTTCAGTCACGATTCATCTAAATTAAAAAAAGCTGTTTGTTGCTTGTTAAGTCTTTTTCTCTTCTTTTTCCTTTCAGATCTCCTCATTATGCTTGTCCAGAGGTCATTAGGGTGAGCCATGTCCCTCTCAGTGTGAATTTATAGCATGTGAGTGTTTGCAGGCCTAAGAGGTATCTGTGTCTCAGGGGGAGCGGTACGATGGTCGCAGGGCTGATGTTTGGAGTTGTGGAGTTATCCTTTTTGCTCTTCTGGTGGTAAGAAGTTCCTCTTTTCTTTTCTTATCCACTTCTACAAAAGGCTGACAATCATATAACTGCCTATGTTTATATGCGCTGTCTGTAAAACATCCCATGAACCAGAGAACAGGTTTTACTGAGTCTCCAAACATTTAATCGTTAATGGATGTAAAGCAACTTTTCATGTCAACCTATTTAAACATGGTCACATGAGGCAACTGGCTATAACTCAGTCATTTTTACAGATATTGAGCTACAGTTTGGTGTAGGAGAAGCTGAAGAATATCTCCAAACTATACTCTGAGCACTAATGGATCATACTGGATATCTGTTTAAAACATGCATGCTACATGCAACATGGACTCTTATCAGTTCGTGCTGTTTAACAGTGGTCATTGTGAACTTTCAGGCCAAACTACTGCCCATTAAATTGTACAGAGTAAAGTTTACCGTATTTTCTAGACTATAGAGCGCACCTGAATATAAACCGCGCAGACTAAATTTTAAAAAACGACTCAGCGTGAAAGACTGCTACCTCTGTAGCTTTTTAGCTAGCATGTCTGTATTGTGCACCGCTAGCTTAGCTCTAGGTCAGTGCCAGCAGTAGTCGATGGAGTAGGCAGGGTGATCAGTTCTGTTAACAGGGCCGGGCGCCCTCCTTGTATAATGGCATGGGAAACACTGCAGACGTTACACAAAGAACTTAAATAAAACTAAGTCATTTATTAAAGAAAGAAAAATGTCGATGTGGCAACAAAGTTACAAATACTCTGGAGACAGAACTTGAATAAAACAACCGTACCTGTGTCGTGGAAACCTGCAATGCAGACCCGGTGTCACAGAGACTGAATAACTACAGCAGGGGTAAATGGAAGGTGGAGGCGGCTGGGTGATTACAAAGTGGGGACAGGTGAGAGTGACTGACAGCTGGGGAGGCAGGCTCATAACACAAGAGACATAGAACATAAACCACAAGCAGAAAAAAGACTAAAGGATGAACTGAAGGACTACATCAATGGGTATGTTTACATGGACATAAGTAACCGGATCAAATGGCCGGTCGGAATAAAAGTGTGTCATGTAAACACTCCGTTCGGGTTATTTTTTGTGTATTTGGCGTGATCCGATATAATTTGTGATCAGAACGAAACGGGTGGTTTACGCCGATCCGTAACCCGATCGGTGCGCATGTAAACGCTTGATCTGTTCGTTTTTATCTGATCGTGAAAAACTGACCTGACTGCGCATGTGCGACATTGACATTTCCGCCTGGCTAATGCTAATAATGTTAGCATGTCAGGGAAGTAAAACTGGTCGGTGAGCGACACAACATTTCTACTAGAAACTTTTAAAGAGCTCAAAATTATCTGTATTACCTGTAGCTCAGTCAGGGAGTGCAGTAACGTCTCCACCATCATTAAAACCTGTCGCGGGTCCATTTTGGGTGCTCAGGTTTGTTCACGTTCACCCGGAAGTAGAACTTCTTCTTCTGTGTTTTTTTAATGAGAGTTTACCACTCTGCACATGTCAGTACTGCTGTTCAGAACAAAGCCCGCTGCATGTAAACGCTTGTCATGAACAGATTGTGCCCATGTAAACAATACATTTGAATTATTCAAACAGAACACATTTCAATCCGGTCAAAGAATTCTGCGCATGTAAACATAGCTATTGAATAACAAAAAAACAGACTATGACGTAATTTAAAACACTTTACATGAAAGCAAAGCAAGAATAGCAAGTTCAGATGAAATCCTGTTTGTGTCAGTAATGTAGAAAAGTGTTTTTGGTCCCAGTAGTTATGTTTACATGGGCGTAAGTAATCAGATTAAACAAACTGCGTCATGTAAACGCTGCATTCTGATTATTCCTTGTTGATTCAGCTTGATCCGAATGAATTTGTAATCTGAACGAGACGAGTGGTTTCTGCCAATTCGTAATCTGAATGGTGTGCATGTAAACACTTAATCTGATCATTTTATTCTGATTGTGGAAAACTGACCTGACTGCACATGTGCGACCAATGTCTACCTCACGTATTTCCACCTGGCTAGATGTTAATATGTCGGGGAAGTAAAACTGATCAGTGAGCGACAACATTTCTGCGAGAACCTTTGAAAGAGCTCAAAATGATCTGTATTACCTGTAGCTCAGTCAGGGAGTGAATATGCCGAATATATTTGGGCAAGCATGACAGCTCAGTGGTTATCACTGCTGCCTCACAGCAAGAAGGTCCTGGGTTCAATCCCCAGTTGGACCTGGGGTCCCTCTGTGTGGAGTTTGCATGTCAGGTTGCTTCAGGCTCCCCTTGTAAAAGTGATCTGTAATCTTAATGGGATTTGTCTGGTTAAATAAAGGTTAATGAATAATACATTTCAATCAAAGAATTTTGCACATGTAAACATAACTAGTGATTACAGGAAGAGTCAAAGGTGGATGTATGAAATGCCAAATAGGTTATAAATTCTGCGTACAAACGCCCTTATGGCAAGCTTTTTTGTATTTATTTTAAATACCAAATATAAAGGGTTACTTGGCCCATCAGTTTGCCACCTACAGCACACCAACACTCATGTAGGTGAGAAGCTGGGGGAACAAAAAAAAAAAAAAAAGAAGAAACCACGTTAATTAAATCTGTTATTTTCACATCCCCTGCTAGGGTGCCTTGCCTTTTGACCATGACAACCTGCGGCAGCTTCTGGAGAAAGTAAAGAGCGGAGTTTTCCACATGCCTCACTTCATTCCTCCAGACTGCCAAGCACTGCTGAAAGGAATGATAGAAGTCAATTCCAACAAAAGACTTACGGTAAGAACAAAAATATATAAATATATTTATAAAGCCTGCTTGTACCAATTAAATTAAATAAAAAGTAACACACGTTCTCTGTCACCGTCATTAATCAGATAAACAAACAAACAAACAAGCAGCAGCTTCATCTACAGACAGAGTGACATTACGTTTTCTCTCTTGAAACAGAACAATGTGTTAAATTGTAGAGACTCACCTGCAACACATGAAGAGTTGTATCAGCTGCAGCTCCTTCCTCCTCGTGACTCCGACATGTTTACGTTTATCTCCATGGTTCTCTCGTGTCGTGTCGGTGATTTTCAAAGCTGCATGCTTCTCATTTTTTATCTTTGTGAAGAGCTCCCACTCTTTGGAGGACTTGGGTCGAACAGTTTTCGCTGCGTCGGTCATTTGTAAAATTTACTTAATTTCCTTTGAAAACAGCCCCTGCTTTGCTCCCCCCTCACTCTGTTCAACTCGCACTGCAGTTTTTTTTTTTCAAACTTTATTCAGTCAGTCAGCATTGACAATGAACTGCAGGTGAACAAAACGAAACGACTCCGCAGCGCCGTGAAAGATGCATAATCGCGCGACACAACGAATCGAAAACGAAATTCGTTGCCAACGCTTTTAATCATCGATTTTTATCGATTTTTATCAATTTTTATCGATTTTTATCGATTTTATCGATTCGTTGTTGCAGCCCTATATTGCACATATGCCCGAAATTTGGTGCTCACAAACACAGAACAAAAATATACTTTTCTTCACCTGTCTCTCTTATTTTACTCACAAATAAACTCATTGTGTGCTGAAAAGATAAGTCATTGAGACAAAATTGTCAGTGTATAGAAGGAATGGTATTTCAGTGTTTTGTGAAAATTGTGGACAGTTTCTTTATATATACACATGTATATATGTATATATGTATATAAATATATATAAATATATATATATATATATATAGGGCAGCCCGGTGGCGCAACTGGTAGAGCTGCTGCCTCTCAGCGAGCAGGTCCCTGGTTCAAACCCTGGTCCAAGGGCCTTTCTGGGTGGAGTTTACATGTTCTCTCCGTGCATGCGTGGGTTTTCTCCGGGTACTCCGGTTTCCTCCCACAGACCAAAAACATGCATGTTAGGCTGATTGATAACTCTAAATTGTCCCTAGGTGTGAGTGAGAGAGTGAATGTTTGTTTGTCTCGTTTGTCTCTATGTGTCCCTGTGATGGACTTGCGACCTGTCCAGGGTGTCCCCCGCCCCTCGCACAGTGATTGCTGGACATGGGCACCAGCGACCCCCGTGACCCAAAATGGAATAAGCGGGTAAAGATAATGGATGGATGGATGGATGGATATATATTTATATTTGATTTTACTGTTATTTGCATCACATGTGGAGCATGAGGTGGAACTACCGTATTTTCTGACATATACGTCACATCTTTTTGCATAAATTTGCAACTCCTGCGACCCATACACCAAAGCAACAAATTTTTTTTTTCATATTCATAACCCATTTTTTGACCGACATCTGACGCTTTCATTCATTCTGACATGAACCAGATTAAACATTACCATTTGCAGCCGCTAAAGGCACAAGAGGACCCTCTAGGCTTTTGACAACTACCCCCCCCCCCCCCCCCAAACATGCACTTAGAGACAACTGAGAAAAACTTAACACAAGTGCCCCCAAACAGAAAATCCTATTTTGCAGATTACAAACTGCAGGTAATAAAAATATTCAGACTAAAATAATGGAGCAGCAGAAAGAAAACTTGTGAACAGGTCAGGTCTGTGCAGTCTGTCAGGGGAGTCAACCCGGCGGAGGATCCCCCCTCGCGGGGAACCTTCTCCTGTGTCTGGCTGGCTCCCGCCTGGCACGTTTTCTCCACAGCTGTGCGCCATCCATCCATCCATCCATCCATCTATCCATCCATCCATCCATCTATCCATCCATCTATTCATCCACCCATCCATCCATCCATCCATTCATCCATCCATCGCAGCTCTGGCTGTGAGCTCTACAGCCTTTCTCTGCTGCCGGAGCTGGGAGGAAGGCTCTGTGGCAGTGCGCCACCCATCCATCCATCGTGGATCATGTGCCTCGCTGCCCACTTCCTCCCCCTTCCTCCCCCTTCTAGCGGTGGAGGAAGGGGGCAGCGAGGCACGTGATCAGACTTTTTCTTTAAAATGCAAACATAAATAAATAAATAAAATATAAATGAGAAGGTTTGGGCTGAGCTCACTACTTTTTTCTCATCTTACCAACTCAAAAAATAAAAATGAAACACAGTGTTCTCATTTTAAACTAAGAGCATTAAATCAGAATCAGCTTTATTGTCATTGCACAGAGCACAATGAAGTTACATTTCAGTACAGCCCATGTTGAACTTGGGTAGACGGAGTGTCTGAGGCTGCAGCGTCTGAGAGACGCTTCTTTTTCATTACATGAGGGAAGAAGGGAAAAAAAATCTCATCTCACACTGTGTGCCTGCAGGACACAGTGTGAGGCTACAAAAATCCCCAGCACATAAAACAGCAACTTAAATAGACGTGTGTGTGCTGAGGGAGGCCAGCGAAGGCATAAAAAGGTTCACAGGACAAAGAGCAGAGCAGGGACGGAGCGGAGGAAAGAAGCGTCTGCCTTCGCCGAGGGCAAGCGAGAAAAGAAAAACACATTAGCTGGGACCATGTATGTGTACGTTATTTCAACCTGTGTTTGCCACTTTAGCTAACCAGCTGCTGAAGATAACGATTTATTTGCAGCCAAATTTTGACTGCCTCAAAAGGAACTAATTCACTGCTCACTCTCAAAAACAAGCAAATAAACAACTAGGCTTGTATTCAGAATGAGATTAAAAGGGTTCCTTGACCTCAGGAGAGCGTCTCAGTTTGTCCAAACCATAAAGAAGACATTAAAAAGACAGCAGGCGATAAAAGAAGAGCCAGCCCTGGGCTTTACTTTGAAAAGAACGTCCATGAAACCTGACAGAACCTTGTCGAGGACGGAGGAAAACGGACCACAGACACAACCGAGCGATGGACCTGTATATATATATATGTGTGTGTGTATGTATTTATGAATATATACATGTATGTACAGTGTATATATATATGTATGTACAGTGTATATATATATATATATATATATATGTTT